TATAAGCCAATTACTATTATATATTTTAAGTTGGTGGGGTAATGAGAATTCAGAATTTTTTTATTAAGGGGTGTTGGCTTTTTTGACGAATGAAGATACAAGTATTTCTTTGTGGTAAATAGAAAGTCGGTTAAGTTTAGGTGGGGGTTAGAGATTTCTGTCTGTTGATACTGATTTACATTTATGCGGTCGTGTCATCAATGCCTCGTTTTCTTTTTATATTTTATTGTTGGTTACAATACAATACATTTGGCATTTATAGTTATTTTTTATTTATTTTCTTGGATTCTAAAACTACATCGAGATTTAATTAAAGTGATATTCAAATATGATTATGTCATTTATATTTATATTTTTATTTACAAAGATCTAAAACACTATATTTTATTTACTAATTAACTATATATGGTATTGTATAATTAACATATTAGAATCTAATTACGCAGTTATAAATTATTTTATTTATGATCATATAATAGATATATAATTATTCAAATTATTTCTATAGTTCATTATTTTTAAGGAAAATATGAGACAATGTCTGCAAAACCTGCTCTTTCATTTCTTTGATTTAGTAAATTTTTGTTTTTCATAAACATAATAATATATAACTTTTCATGAAGGCACAAAGATCTACATGTTCTCGTTTTTGTTATTAGTTTATATTTTACTGTTGGTTTTATATTTGTTTCTTTTTTTTTTCTTTTAAATGCGAAAAATATTTAGATATATATTATCACGTCCACTTGGGAGAAATATCAGGTACCATAATCTTGGATGTGCGAGTGGTGTAATGGATAACGGCTTACAAATCGGAGAGCTGAGTTCCAGTTCTACTAGGGTTCGTTATATTCAATTACGCGCAAATATCTTTGGGAAATCTATGAATCCATCTCTTCTCTCCCAAGCTACTGGTTAAATAGCGGGACTTTTATCAGTATCTTGTTATTATCTCAAAAATACAAAAAATAATTTCCCGCTTTAAATTACCAGCAAAGGGTTGATAAACCGTAAAAATATAAATGCTTTCCATCAGTCAGTCATTGATGTAACTGTTAATTTTGCCATATTTAGTAGTATGAGCAGTTTATAATGCTAACATTTTTCCATGTTTTTTTTTGTAAACATTTTCATTCATTGTGAATATTTATTTGGGTTAAATTATAAACCCCGCCTCCACAACATTGCCATATGGAACTGGGAAATGCTTCCAAGAGCAATTGCTGTATTATGATAGCTGTCGTAAGGTTGATAAGGGCACATATTTTGCTGACTACAAAAATTTCTAGCTATGTTCAAAGAATCGTGAGAATTGTGACTAGCCCTCCCCATTTTTAGGCCTTGTGCCAATATTTATCTAATTTTATACAATAAATATTGATGCACTTTCAAAAAGATTCTCCTGTTTGATTATTATAGCTAGCTAGAAAATGACTAGAAAAGTGTCTAGCTAGGTTCAACGATAGGACAATCACGACCAGCCCTCCCCATTTTTAGGCCTTGTGCCAATATTTATCTAATTTTATACAATAAATATTGATGCACTTTCAAAAAGATTCTCATGTTTGATTATTATATCTAGCTAGAATATGACTAGAAAAATGTCTAGCTAGGTTCAAAGATAGGACAATCGCGACCAGCCCTCCCCATTTTTAGGCCTTTTGCCAATACGTATCTCATTTAATATGGGCACGTGGCCGAGTGATTAGAACGTTCGCATTCGGACCATGAGACCCGCGTTCGAATCGATTTGTCAGGAAGGAGACGTCCTGATGCTATCGGAGTAGAGGGCTCGAACCTAGCGTGCGGCACCTTTGGAAAATACCTGAAAACCATACGACGGGATGACCTAAACCTTGTGAGCACGAAGTCACAAGTCATCGTGGCCGAGGGAGTGTCCGTGCTGGCCTTGTTCAAATTGTTGATCACGCTAGATAATACGCTCTTTCCCAGGAACTGTAACTAGGGTCTGCCCAGCATAGATGCCGTATAAGTTACAGGCGGGTGTTGAATAAACACAAGTGCGCCTGAGCAAGCGACTTCAATAGGGATTAGCTAGCCGCCATAGTAGACGGGTATCCGCAAATACGAGTGGCCAGCTATACTATCTCAATTAATACAATAAATATTGACGTTCTTTCAAAAGAATTCCCCTGTTTGATCGTGAATAGAATCGAGAACATTCCAGTCAGACTTGTTTCTATATAAATATAAGAAAATACGAAATAAGGACTTTATTAACACAATAGGCCTTAAGGTGAGGGTACGGAATTTTTCCTGTTCTTCTTACCTCTCTCTAGAATTTTCATACATTTCTGTCTCACCCTTCTTTCTCACACCCACACATACAATCTCATTGAGATTTTTTTTTTTTATACCCGGAGTTATATTTCCTGTTTCTTTTGAATGTGTAGGTCTGAGGAATTGAATCGTGATTATGATTCCAATCTAATAAATTCTAACGATGGAATATTAGTGTTTGAGCCATTTACATTATATT